CCCACCGGAGATGTGCCAGAAACCAACGGAATCGAACCTGGGACCTTTCAGTCCGCAGACTGACGCTTTACCACTGAGCCAAACCGGTTCTGGCTCTTTCTCCCATTTAATGTTTTACTTCTGTGGCCCCTCTCACCTTCATGTACTTGTTGAACACAGACTGGATCTCCTCGTTGATGCTAGGCTGCAGTACAGCTCGAAGGAGGTCCATGGAGATAGCGGGATCTGTGAAACTGCGTTCAGGAGGGAGGCACAGTCAGGGGACATATCCCAAACACATCCTTCCTTAGTCTGCCCGGCTAGTTATTGACATAGGATCCTTTAATGACAATAATAGTTTTTACCGAAAACTAGCTATGTGCCCAGGTTCTCTGTAAACTACATAGATGCATGCCTTTGTCTCATTACTCTCTGAAATGAGTATTGTTTTAAAAGTGTTATGAAATACTGTATAATACTTATATAGAAAAGCCTATACACATTAACAAAGAGTATTATCAAACATCCATTTAATCACTATCCAGGTCAAAAAATATAATCAGCTTTTCAAAAGCCCATCTAGTGCTCTTTCCCTTTTCTTTTATTATCTATTTAATGACAACAATTATTATTATCCTCTTATCACAGGGTAATAAGGATAGTATTAGCCACACTTAAGAAAATATATGTTTTTATTGATTTCAGAGAGAGGGAGAAAGGATATAAACATCAATGATGAAAATAATTGATTGGTTGCCTCTAGCACGCCCCCTACTGGGGATCGAGCCAGCAACCCCTGCATGTGCCCTGACCAGGAATTGAACTATGATCTCCTGATTCAAGGTTTGATGCTCAACCACTGAGCCACACCTGGCTTAGGTGGCTCAGGCATTGTTTCATCTATCCATTCCCTCATTTTGTATGTATTTTTATTATTTTTTAATATTTTATTGATTTTTACAGATAGGAAGAGAGAGGGACAGAGAGTTAGAAACATCGATGAGATAGAATGTGCCCGCAACCAAGGTACATGCCCTTGACCGGACTCGAACCTGGGACCTTTCAGTCCGCAGGCCGACGCTCTATCCACTGAACCAAACTGGTTTCGGCCATTCCCTCATTCTGAATATGAATTCAGAGAGGGAAGTGATTTGCTCAAAGTCACAGAAAGCCGCAGAATCTGAGTCTCCTCTTTTCTAATCCAGTGCTCATTCTACTCCGTGACGCTCTCTTCTCAGCCCTCTACAACTGGGACCCCAAAGCTGCCCTCTCAGACAGTGCCTGGGAGGTAAGTCCCACCCAGAGTCGTCCTTACCTGGTGGTCATCTGTGAGCGGCGGCCCCTCCGCTGCACCTGCCGGTGCTTTATCATTATGTTCCAAGGATTCTGTGGGGGCCAAGGGAGCAGGTGTCACCGAAGGCGGTGACACTGGGGTGAAGGTGGAGGGTGAGTATGAAGTTAAACCTAGACAGCCCTGCTTCTCAGGTGTTCGCCATTGATCGGGGCGGGCAGAGACTGATTGGAAGGCCCTGCCAGGGAAGGGAAACTCAGAGAGAGAATCCTGCTTTCAAAGTCCCGACCCCACCTTTTCAGGAACGGCTGGAGGAAGGGAACCGGTGTTTACCGAGGACCTACTCTGGTGACAGATGGTGTGTGCTGGGGGCGCTTTACCGCATTGATATCCCATCCCCACAATCTTAGAAGGCAGATCCCAATCATCTCCGCTTTATAGAAGGAGAAACGGGGCCTTGACAGGACTGACCCAGTCACCTAGCGAGGGGGGCGGCACCAGAACCTGAACCCTCGTCGTCGGACTGAGAAAAAACGCCAACCCCGTCGGCAGCTCCAGCCCCCGCGTTCTTTTGCCCGCGGGCGAGGGTCCCGGGAACCCGAGGCCCTGCGGGCCCGAGCCCAGGCCGCCCGGCCTCCCTCGGGGCACTCTCACCGTGAGGACCAGTTGCCCCGCTGCGCCCGCGTCTCCCAGCTCCGGGCCGCCCCGCTCTGCCCCGCCGGGTCCCCGCGGCTGCTCGGCGTCGCCAGTGGCCCCCATGGCGCACCCGATCCTCACAACTCTAGCCGGACTCTGCCAATGGGCCGGAAAGTGGCCCCGTGACGTCATTGGAACGCGCGGCCGCCGGCCTGAAAGCGCGCCGCGGCGAGCAGCGGGGTTTCCATGGGAACCAACCGTAGCTTCCAGCCCTGAGACCCTGGAGACCCAGTGAGGGTGGGCGGGCGGGGCTCCCTCCCGGGTCCCCCTCCCCTTCCTCCCCTTCCTCCCCTCCCTCCGTCCCTCTGGGTGTTCAATCAAGAGTCGTTCCCCGTCAGAAGTGCGGGGCAGAGGAAGGGGAGCAGGCTTCCAGGGGTTGAAGTTGGGGGATTTAGGGGAGCGTTTCGTACAGCAGCGTCTGCAGTTCTGTCTTCGAAAACTGTAGACTTCAATATGCCCTGTACTGAGCCCCCAGAATTGGAGTGGACACGGAACCCCCACTATAGGAGGCCCAGGCCATCCCTACCACTCACGCACCGCACCGGGTCTTTTTTTTCTTTAATAATATATTTTTATTAATTTCAAAGAGGAAGGGAGAGGGAGGGAGTTAGAAATATCAATGATGAGAATCATTGATTGGCTGCCTCCTGCATGCCCTACACTGGGGATCCAGCCCTCAACCTGACCTCCTGGTTCATAGGTCTACCCTCAACCAGTGAGCCATGCTGGCTGGACATCCACTGGGTCTTAACAGGCTCCCACCCCAGGAGCTGCCTCTGAGTCTGAAGATATCAGAATAAAGGCTGGGACTTGAACTGTGGATTCTAACTCCAGCCCCAGGGAGCTGGACTTGTCTCCCCAGACTCTGATTCTGGGATGGGCGGGGGATGCAGGGGTTTAACAGCCATAGAGTTCCCTAGAGCACCCCTTAACTCTGCCTTAGCTGTAAGGAGGCCCTGAATAGAATTGATCTATGAGTGGTAGAGAAAGTTACGTTTTCCAGGTCACAACACAGGGGAGTAGAAAGTGTGTGTTTATTTTATTGCTTTTTGAGAGAGAGAAAAAGAACATTGGTAGACTCTCTCCCACAGGCAGTCTGAGCAGGGATTGGACCCAAAGCCTGGGTATGTGCCCTGTCTGCGTGGGATTTGCAGTTAGGAAGATCTGAGTTGAAATCCAGTATGGAGGGGTGATTAAGAACTACGAAATTGGCCTGCCTATCTTTGTTTTACCATTTATTAGCTGTGTGACCCATGTTTCTTTCTGTACCTTTTCAGTTTCTTCATCTGTAGCATGGGGATAATAGTAACAAACTGATAGGTTGCAGTGAGGATTAAGTGAGTTAATTAATATAAAGCACTTAGAACTGTAGCACAAGTAAACCCTCAAGCAATGCTGTCATTAATTAAATTCTAGCAGCTACCACATAGTAGCTTTAGGATCTTGGGCAATTTTCCTCAGCCTCTCTGAGATACTTTACCTCTGCAAGATGATCATGAGGATTAAAATAATCTATATAAAGCACATAACAGCTCTATGCTCCAATATCAGCCTTAAAACAAAAAGGCAAAAGACACACACATACACACACACACACACACACACCACAAAACAAAAACAAGGCAACTTCCTGACACTGAGCTCTTTGGCACTGTTAAGAGGATTTTATCTTGAGTCTTGGATGTTCCCTGCCCTTTAACTTCACTGGGCTAAGCAGTGACACTGGACACTATTAGGTATCATGGTTGACCAAAGTCATAAGCAGTTAGATAAATAAAAATAAATAAAGCCCCTAGCTGATTTAGCTCAGTGGATAGAGCATCAGCCTATGGACTGAAGGGTCCTGGGTTTGATGCTAGTCATGGATACATGCCTGGTTTGCAGGCTCGATCCCCAGTGGGGGGCATGCTGGAGGCAGCCGATCAATGATTCCCTCTCATCATTGAGGTTTCTTTTTAAAAAAATATATATATTTTATTGATTTTCCACAGAGAGGAAGGAAGAGGGATAGAGAGCTAGAAACATCGATGAGAGAGAAACATCAACCAGCAGCCTCCTGCACACCCCTTGCTGGGGATGTGCCCGCAACCAATGCACATGCCCTTGACAGAATCGAACCTGGGACCTTTCGGTCCACAGACCAACGCTCTATCCACTGAGCCAAACCGGTTTCGGCTCATCATTGAGGATTCTATCTTTCTCTCCCTCTCCCTTCTTCTCTGAAATAAGTAAAAAATATATATTTTAAAAAAAGAAATAGAGCAAGAAGAGACAAATAAAAGTTTATATGGTCTAGATTTACTTGAATCATAACAACTATTCTTTGTGGTTCTGTCAACTAGCCTTCCTACAGTCCTAGGATGGCCTGTGTGGGCCACAGGGACCAAGATATAGGCTTTGGTGCATTTAAATTAGTTCTGAGCAGACTCAAAGATAGGTCTTTGCAGCTTTTTTTTTTTTTAATAAATATATTTTATTGATTTTTTTACAGAGAGGAAGAGAGAGGGATAGAGAGTTAGAAACATCAATGAGAGAGAGACATTGATCAGCTGCCTCTTGCACACCCCCACTGGGGATGTGCCCACACCCAACGTATATGCCCTTGACCGGAATCGAACCTGGGACCTTTCAGTCCGCAGGCTGACGCTCTACCCACTGAGCCAAACTGGTTTCAGCCTTTGCAGCTTTTTGAGTATCTGTTTTCTAGGTTGCTAGGATGAACAGGAGCCACAGTGTGTTTTATTAACTTTGGTCATTTTCTTATTAAGTCTTGTCATTGTGTCCTTCCAAGGCCCATTAGGGCTCGCTCTGATCCTCGATCCAGGGCCTTCCCTCCAATTTTTCAGGTTTGTCATCATTGTTCAGGGCTATTGCGTATTGTGCATTATAGAGCTTAATCACCACGCTGTGTCCTTTCGTAGTGCCAGGAATTTTCCCACACGCCAGCAACCAATCATTTTTCTTCCTGTCAGAGGAGGCCGTCCGTGGTGACTATTATAAAAGGGCAAACTTTGGGGCTGGATTTAGGCTGGGCAAGGTGAACACCTCTGGCCGGACCTGAGCTCTCATCTCAGCTCTCGGCATCTTCAGCAGCATCATCATGTTGAGCTCCCTCTTCCTCCTGAAGGCCCTTCTTGCTCTTGGGTCCCTGCCGTCCTGGGTGGCTGCAGAAGAGCCTGGTGAGTCATCATCCCTGGCTAGCAGGAACAGAAAGTGACCAGAGAAGTCGTCCCCTGCCTCCTCCCAGAGTGAGGGCCTCATTGGCGGAGATGGCCATCTCGGTAGGACGGGACTGGGTGCAGAGGTTCTTGGGACAACAAGGGCAGGTTTCCCAGGCTTTCTCCACCCTCTCAGGCTTTCTCCTAGAGCAGTGGTTCTCAACCTTTCTAATGCCGTGACCCTTTAATACAGTTCCTCATGTTGTGGTGACCCCCAACCAAATTATTTTTGTTGCTACTTCATAACTGTAATTTTGCTACTGTTAATGAATCATAATGTAAATATCTGTGTTTTCCGATGGTCTTAGACTCTACAGCAGTGGTTCTCAACCTGTGGGATCCTTGCAGGCTCTGCTTGGCCTCCTCGTTTCTTTCTCAGATATGCACATGCCATCTCGTTGTTGGTTTTCCTTTACTCTGAAAAACAATAAAGTGCCTCCTATATCTTGAGATCTTTTCTAAGAGAAGATGTAGGGAGGTTACCCAAGCCATGGTGGTTTGTGGGATATGGCCTCGGCAGGCAGAAGAGGCTCCGGAAGGGAAATGTTGGCATATCTATATTTGTGGGAAGATTTGAATGCGGTTGGATAATTTCCAATTCCTGTTATCAGTTGCAGTCTTCTCTATAAAATTCTTAGCTGGAGAATCTGCAAAGAGGCAGCAAAAAGAATCTTGCTACCTATACAAAGCAGCACCCCTCCACCCCCACTTGCTTCTGAGACTCCATGTCCCCCCTGTCCACACATAGGATTGCTGTCTCCTGTTGGAAATAGGCCCTATTTTATTCTGGTTCTGGTTAAGAGGTGTTTGAAAGAGATGTCTTCTTTCAAACTCTTATGGGTACCCATGAACTAATTCTCCATTTACACATTATTTCTGTATATATTTATTGAGGGTTTACTCTATGTCGGATCCAGCGATGGGTTCTGGGTAAACTGTGGTGAACAAAGCAGATCCAGTCCCTGCCTTCGTGGCGATCATAGACTAGTGGGGAGAAAGAGGCTTAACAGACAAACATGAAATAAGCCTGTAACCTCAAACTCTGACAAGGATATGGAGGAACATTAAAGGGGGCAAAGAGATATAGAATAACCTGGAACTCACTTTAGATTAGATGGTCAAGGGAGGCCTGTCTGAGGCAGTGACATTTAACCTGAGACCTGGAGCTGAAGTTAGCCAGGTCAAGGGTGTGACGAACGAGAGAAGCAAGCGCAGAAGTCTTTAAGCTGAGAAGGAGCTTGCCACATCTTAGAAACTGAAAGAAAGCTGGAATGGTTGAGACAGGGAGGGAGAGAGTGGTGTGGACAGGATGCAGTTGGACTAGGGAGATGGCAGTGGGGATGGAGAAAGGTGACAAACGGAGAGAATTTGGAAGTAGAAGTGGGAAAACTGTGTGCTCTCTTTCTCAGCTTCTCCTCATTCCCTGAGCGGCCCCAAAACGGATTAGAAATGGATGGTGTGTCTCCCATGGGTATCCCCTTCTCATGTCCCTTTATTTCAGATGGTCATGGCTACTTTTGTTTGCCTGAGCTTCCAAATACGTTTTATTATCACATGGTCTATTCCCCACTTCCTCCCTTCTAAAGATTGAGGCTACTTTTATTGGAGAGGTTTTAGATGTATAACTTAACTTAGGGAGATCTGACTTTTTTTTTTTTTTTTTTTTAAATCCTTACCCAAAGATATTTTTCCATTGGTTTTTAGAGAGAATGAAAGGGAGAGAGAGACAGAGAGGAAAACCTTGATGTGAAAGAGACACATCAATTGGTTGCCTTCGCATATGCCCCAACCATGGCTGGGGATCAAGTCTGCAACCTAGATACATACTCTTGGCTGGAATTGAACCTGGAACTCTTCAGTTCCTAAGCTGCCGCTCTTTCTGCTGAGCCAAACTGGCTAGGGCAGATCTTACATGATATCTTTATGACTTCCCATTTTCTAAGTATATTTGGTGTATTTCAAGGTGTTTTCTAGTTTTAAAGTTTTTTTTGATAAGTTAATACTCAGATTACTTTATTATCTTCTTTGCTGTCTCCAATAGGATTTTACATTATGCTTTCCATTATGTTTTCTAAAGGAACTGGAACCTTCTCTCATATGAGTACATGGGGTAGCTTATTACACTGAAAAAGCATAGATTTTGGTTGTCAGAGGTCTGGGTTCAAGTGCGAGGCTCACCAGTCACTGGCCAGTGGGTCCCTGGCCGAGTCTCTTCTGCTTCTCTGAGCCTCAGTTCCCTTCGCCGCAAAATGGAAAGAATAAACCTCGCAGGTTGTTGTAATGATTCACCGTATGTACAGTGTTTGGCCTTCACTACCCATGAGCTCTCTTCTATTTGCTTCTTAAGGCAAACCCGTCGGGGTGCAGTTTCTAATTAGTCCATTCATCAGGAACCAGGGTGATTTTCTCTCCCCTGATCACATCTTCTCTGAGGCCCAGCCACTCCACTCCACGTGACAACCTCTTTCCTTCCAGACAGACCTCCGAAGGTGGCAGGCCCCTTCCCCATGCCCAGTGGAGTTGTCTGTGCCTGCCATAGGCAGCTCTCTTGGGCAGCCTGCCCATAAGAGAGAATAGAGGGTTGTACTCCTTGCCAGGACTCTTGAGGTCCAGTCCTGGAACCAGAGCCTGGGAATCTGTCTCAGGCGGGTCCCTCACTGCCAGCTTGTAGGGCCTGGTACAATCTGCCCAGTGTTTGGAGCTGGCCACTGTATCCCATCTAAAGTGAGTTCCCGGTTATTCTATCTCTCAGCGCCCTTTAATTTTCCTCCATGTCTTTGTCACGGTTTGAGATTATAGACTTAATAAATCAGAGCCATGAGCATGTTTATATGCTGAATCCTGTTTGCCCTAGTGAATCACCAAACCTAGGATGGTCTCAGGGGCTACCGACACACTGGTTTGTTTCTGTTTTCCTAACTCCTACAGCCATCTGCTACCAGGCATTCTCTCTGGGCAGAACTGGGCTGAGTGAGTCCCAGCGCTTGCTGGTTTGTTTTGGGGTGATCCTTGTGGAGTAGGGGATCATAGTGATGTGGTTCAAAGGGCACCAAGGCCATGTGGTTTTGGGACCCAATTCTGCCCTCTTTGATCTCAGGTCAAGCCCCCTCCTTTCCTGGATGTTTATTTGCAAGAGAAGAGGAATAGGCTTCAGAGCTCCCAGGGCCCTTGTTGGCTTAGGATATCTTGAGATTTCACTTTTCTTTTCCTTTTTTTTTTAAAAATATATTTTATTGATTTTGTACAGAAAGGAAGGGAGAGAGATAGAGAGTTAGAAACATCGATGAGAGAGTCATCGATCAGCTGCCTCTTGCACACCCCCTACTGGGGATATGCCCGCAACCAAGGGTACATGCCCTTAACCGGAATCAAACCCAGGACCCTTCAGTCCCCAAGCCGACGCTCTATCCATTGAGCCAAACCGGTTTTGGCAAGATTTCACTTTTCTGCCAGCAGCCCCCCTCATCCCCAGGACCAGCATAGAGACCAAACCTCTATTCCCTTCCAGTAGCAGAGTGCTCCTGACACTGGTCACTTCAGGGCTGCGCTCGGCAAAATCGTGAAATCTGGGGAGGGTGCTGCTCTAGGCACCACTTTCTAGGGCTTATGAGAAGTTTATGTTGCTGGTGGTTTTCCACCAAGGAGATTTCACCTCGGGTCCAAAGGCATTGTTCTTTGTTAACCAGATCTAATGTTTGTCAAGCAGGGGGGTAGGTTTGAGGAGGCATCTGGTGGTTATAATGACCTTATTTCTGAAATGAAAATCGGGACATGTGGTTTTGATGTGATCGGATAGTGGCACAGAATATCTGAAACAGGAGCTGTGCAGGAAAACCCTAGGGGGCAGGGTGATTATATCTTGATTGTTTAGCTACAGTGTGTTCTCGCTGGAGGCCAACACTTGCTTTTTCCATCATGGCAGACTTCCTGGAGCCAGCCGTATGCAAATATGTTACATGCTCTTACTCAGAGGCACCGAGCCAGTCCTGCCTTGGCTTTCTCCAAAGCCTTTAATAGCCTGCACTTTTTTCCATTTAGAAATCTTGAAGTGAACACTGAGGTGAATGAGTCACAGTGAGGTGATTTGGTTGGGATGTGACCTCTCCGGGTGTGCCTGCTCTCGAGGACCCCGAGGGGTGTCTGCATGCCATAAGGGTGGTGTAGCAGAAAGAGTGCTTCCTAGCGAGCGGAGAGGCTGAGTTTAGTCCTGCTTTGCTGCTGACTCACTCTGCAGTCTGGGCAAACCCCTTCTTCTCTCTGAGTTCCATTCTTTTCACAGGGACGGTGAAGAGACAGTTCAGGAGCACTGCGTGTGTCTGTCCATGGCAGAAAGTTTACTGAACAGGGGCTCATGGTTCTTTTTTTTTTTTTTTTTAAATATATTTTATTGATTTTTTTACAGAGAGGAAGGGAGAGGGATAGAGAGCTAGAAACATCGATGAGAGAGAAACGTTGCACACTTCCTACTGGGGATGTGCCCACAACCATGATACATGCCCTTGACCAGAATCGAACCTGGGACCTTTCAGTCTATCCACTGAGCCAGACCAGTTTTGGCAAGGGGGCTCATTGTTCTTGCATAAGGAGAAGCCCTGGAGTAGGTGTGAGGGAGGGGTGGGGTGGCATCTCTGTGACGCCAGCAAGGATGAAACAGTTTCTTTCTCTTGGCGACCCTGGATTCCGCCTTATCCTAGTTGCCTCCTGGGTAAAGGAAGGCTGTGGTACCACCCTGTGCTGGGTCAGTCTTTGCACTGGAAGAAGGCTGAAGTGAGGGGCAGTTTGAAAGGTGTCGTCTCTATATCAGGGGAGCAAAAGTTGGCCCAGCTACGTCTCAACTTGTGGCCACCCCTAGTTACAGGGGACTATGGGGGAGCAAGTCATTTTAGCTGGCTGGCCTCATTGCCTCTCAGAACAAACCTGGGGATCCCTTAACCAGAGTTTCAGTTATCTATTGCTGCATGCATACCACCCCCAAACTCAGCGTGGGTTAGGTGGGCAGCTCTTACAACACATGGTGTATGTAGCTGAGATCACTTATATGGCCGTATGTGTCTGGGGTTCAGTGGGGAGCCCGACTGTGGCTGAGGTGCCCAGGATCCTCTCTTCAGCCAGGTTCTCTCTAATGGGGCATCTCCTCAAGCTGCTACAGAGCGCAGCTGTTGGCTTCCAGGAGGGAGTGTTCTAAGAGGACAACCTCACTATGTAACTGTATATCCAGCCTCTGCTCACACCAGTCACACCTGCTGATGTCCTGTTGGTCAAAGCAAGTCACATGGCGGAGCCCAGAGACAATGTGGGAGAGGGGCTGTACAAGGGCAGGCATCTCAGGAGGCGGGGCTCATTGGGGTCACCAGTGTCGATGTCCACCACCGTCAGAAAGTGGGTGAGACCTCAACAGTGTTTTTCAAATGGCAAGTCTTGAAATGAATTCAGTCGTTGGTGGCCTGCATTAAGAAAAGGAGACATAGAATATGAAGTGTCAGCATCACATGTGCATGAATGCCCCCGGGTATGTCCATTTTAAACATACATCTGTATTAACGTACATATGGGACAACATAGAAAATGGACTAGTATTTTGTACTCAAGAGTCACAGAAAAAATAGCAGGAAAGTCCTCTGAGGCCCACTGCTCTGATTCTACGGCAGAGGTTGGCGGTGAATGTCCTCCCGACCCCCTTCCATGCAACAAGCTGTGCGATGGAGACTACTCCTGTCCTCAGGGGCATAAGTGCTGCAGCACGGGCTGTGGGTACACCTGCCGAGGAGACATTGAAGGAGGTATGTGGACTTTGGGGGAAGGGCTCCCTGAGTGCTCCTTGAGTCTCAGAGTCAGTTTGGGAGGGAGTCATCTCTGGCCTTCTTGCTGTTTTCTTCCTGGGCAGAATCAGAGTTCTCCTCCTTCCTGTCCTCCTGGGCCCCTCAACCCAAGGCAACCCCTCCTCCTATGGCCAGTGGTCCTTGTTGGCATTAATAACTAGGGAACACATATGCAATACCTTCATCAGTAAAGAAGAAAATAATAATAAAAAAAGAAAATATAAACCTCAAACCCACAAAAAGAAAAAAAAAAGTAATAAAAAAAAATAATTAGGGGAAGGCAGGTGGGGTAGCAGGACAAATCCCTAGGCTGGGAGCCAAGCAGCGTGGCTTCTGGTCTTGCTTCTGCTGATGATTTCCCTGTGACCTGGGGCAAACCAACCCCTCTTTTTGAGCCAGTTTCTTTACCTATAAAATGAGGGCATTGCCCCAGATCATGATTTTCTGACCGAATTCTTTGCACAAAGCTTCCCCACCTCCTGAAATCTTCCCTGGAAGGGAGATAAATGCAACAGATAAAAGCATTCCTGATATGATTTCTTTGTTTCTTCAGTCTATGCTTTAAACAAACATATATTTTGAGTGCTCCAGTTGTGCCCGGCACTGTGGAACTCCATTTCAGAAGCACCAGCCCAGATGTTGTCTTTAGACAGCATTTACATTCCCAGGCAAGGGTCAGGGCTTGGGGACAGACTCTGGTCCTCATGTAGCATATAGCCCATCAGGGAAGGTAGACAAATGAGTGGATTAGAGTCAGGTTGGATGAACACAAAGCACAAACATGGTCTAGGGTGGCGGAGAAGCCTAGTGACCCTGTGGAGCCCTAGCAGCTGGGAGGCCAGTGATCTGGGAGCCTTGCTCCTTCCCCACTCTGCCCAGCCCCACCCCCAACCCCACGGAAGTGTCAGCCCCCCAGCTTCCTCGAGGAAGCTCCCTGTGGGACCCTATTTGAACACTGTTGGTCCAACTGCTCTCTTGGATCTTCTTAGATCCTCCAGCTCAAGGCTTCCCAGCCAGATCTTTGGTTCTGGGATGGATTTGCTGGGAGCCCCCATGTCTGAGTTCCAGATGGAACTCGGAGTCAGTGGAGCTGAGCGCCCTGTCTCTACCTGTGCCTGCTTCCCCACAGGACGGGCTGGTGATTGTCCTGAGGTTTTGGTGGGCCTGTGCATAGTCGAATGCTTCGCGGACGAGGACTGTCCAGCCGGGGGAAAGTGCTGCAAGTCAGGCTGCGGGCACTTCTGTTTCCCACCGGTTCTGAAGCCCGAACTGGCCATGGACCCTAACAAGACCATGAATTAGGTGAGTATAGCCCAACATCCTCAAAAACAATGGACATAAACTGTTGTGTGTGAGGCACTGGCTTAGATGCTGGGTTGGGACTTCAGAAGGCCAAGACCAAGTTTCTGCCCTGGAGAGTCTAGTTGGAGAGCAAGATCATACGTTCCAGATCATATACCACAGACCCCTTGCATAGACGGAATGGGCGTATAGGCTTTCAGGGTGGGTGGGGCTCCTTGGAAGGTCTTCCTGTTAGCAGGAGGATTTGACGTGGGCCCTAAAGGCGAGGGAGAATGTGATAAAGGGAGGACAGCCCAGAGAACATGCTGGACAGAGGGTCTGGTGATCGCTAGCAAAGGCACAGAGGGTGAAATGTATGTGACAAGCTTGGGGAGTCGGGGTGGAGGTGGGAGGTGAGAGTGGGCAAAGGAACAGGCAGGCTGTCGTTATAACAGGAGAGGTAAAGTTGACATCTGAATGATAAGAGTCTTCAATGCCAGTTTGGACTAGATTGTGTCCAATTAAGATTCCCGAGAGCAATTAATGCCAAGCTTCTCTCTCTCCAGTGGCCAGGAAACACCTGGGACCTGGAGCCTGGAGGGCACAGCTGTGACTTGACATTACTTCTTCTTGCAGAGACCCCGGTGCCCTAGCCGTTCTGATTTGTCCTGAGCTTCTCTGGTGACTCCAAGGGGCTTGTCCTGGAAGCCGGGAGAGGTGCTGTCCTGGGCTCATGATGCACTCAGGGGCGTCATTACCTGCTTCTGTTCCTGCTGCCTGAGCATAAGAAACAGCCTGGGGTTGGGGAATGGGGGTATGGTGCTTCTTGTCCCCAATAAAGGCTGGTGCTGACCCTCTTGTCTGTACTTTAAAAAAATAAATATTTTCTTGATTTTTTACAGAGGAAGGGAGAGAGAGAGCTAGAAATGTCGATGAGAGAGAAACATCAACCTACCGGGCATGTGCCCCCAACCAACGTACATGCCCCTGACTGGAATCGAACCCGGGACCCCTTAGTTTGCAGACCGACGCTCTACCACTGAGCCAAACCGGTTTTGGCTTGTCTGTACTTTTAAAAAAAGATTCTTATCGATTTCAGAGAGAAACAGGGAGGGAGAGAAGGAGGCGGGGGAGAAGGGAACATTAAGGATGAGAGAGAATAATTGATCGGCTGCCTCCTGCAAGCCCCACACTGGGGATCGAGCCCACAATGTGGATTGTGCCCAGAATGGGAATCAAAGTATGACCTTTGGGTTCATAGATAGATGCTCAACCCCTGAGCCACAGCAGATGGGCTTGTCTGTGCTGTTTGAGGAGTAACATGAGGAAAGAGAGCTAGGGGTCTGAGTATGGCTGTGAGATTATAGGACTATTTGGGAAGGAGAGGTGATTCATTCTTTCTGAGAACACTGAAAATGAGTGCTAGTTGGGTGTGGCTGGTGGAGAGATGGGAAGATAAAACTTGGTGAGTTGCCATAGATATCACTCTTAAACTTCAGGAGTAGTTCTTTATCAGAGAATACTGGTTGGGGATGGAAGTGGGCTGAGGGGCCAGTGTATTATAGTCACTTGGACCTGCTATCTTGGGGGCACAATCTTTGCTCCAAGGCAGGCCATTTGTTCCTTCAGGTAGCATTACTGTAGAAAGGAAATGTTTTTAGGTTATTGGAACCAAGATAATTAAAAATATTTTAAAATTAATTTCAGAGACAAAGGGAGAGAGAGATAGAAACGCCAATGATGAGTGAGAACCATTGGTTAGTTGACCACAAACCGGGCATATGCCCTTGACCAGAATCAAATCTGGGACCCTTCAGTGCACAGGCCAACACTCTATCCACCAGGACAAACTGGGTAGGGCAGAACCAAGATAATTTTTAAAAATTACATTTTTATGTATATAAAATGGATCATTTTTTTGTATCTTTGAGATGTTTTATGTCATCACATGTATTATTTTGCTAGAATTCCATGAAAAGAGCTAATTTAACAAGTCAACTCTTGTTGGACATTAGTGTCCTTGTACCTATAAATCTTGGCCCACTTTTTCAGGTAATTCTGGGTAAATTCTTAGTAGCCGAATTCTGGTTTTTAAAATATAACAACAAAAAAAAAATTGGCCCTCCATAAGTATTTATTGAATGAAAGAATGAATGTAATTCTCAGGTCTATCTGTTAGGAATTCGTTGGGCTGCAAATAATTGAAACTTAACCCACAGTGGCTTGGCTAGTGAAGACATTGCCTTTTCTCACATTGGAGTCTGGAGAGAAGCAGTGAGGCTAGTTCAGCAGCTCAACCACAGCACTGATGACCAGGCTCGCTCCTTCCTTTTCCACCATCATTCTGTTGGCTTTTGTCCTTGTGCCCTTCACTTCCTGTCACAGAAGGAAGAAAGTGTGCATAGAAGACAGTGCAGAAAGATTACCTCAAATAGTCAAAAACCTCAAGTAGTTATCTCAAATGGTACTCTCTTTTTAGAGAGTGGAAGGGAGGGAAGAGGGGGAAGAGAGAGAAAATCATGGATGTGAGAGACACATTGATCGTTTGCCTCCTGCATGCTCCTCAATCAGACTGGGCACCAAGCCTGTGACTGAGGTACGTGCCCCTGACCAGGAATTGAACCCACAACACTCTAACTATGCCACGCCAGTATCGCCAAGGGTGATCCTGAGGAGGAGCAGTAAAGAATTGAAGAAAAGACAGACAAGAGAATGCAGCTGGGGCTCGGTGGATCTCCCATGCCTGGATGAAGACAGAAAAGACTCAGACTGCAAGCTGATGGTTTATTTTATTAACATGTATACAAATGGTCTTGTTTTGGCAACACTTGCTGCACCTCCCATTAGCTACTTAGGAAGGAATTAGAGAGGGCTGCAAGGACTGGCTTAATTGTGCCAGGAGAGAGCTCTGCCCTCCAGGTTGGGACTTGTTTGTGGTCCTGCCACAGGTCAGCCTGAGGCTTGACCCTAAAGCTGCTCCCTACATCTAACCACTGAGAAAAACTGTCCAGGGCAATGGTGCTCTCCTTTTTTTTTAATTTTTTAATTTTTTTAAAATCCTCATTTTAATTCTCACCAGACGATATTTTCCCATTGATTTTTAGAGAGAATGGGAGAGAGAGGGAAAGACAGACTGTGAGAGGGGACAGGCCAGGCTGAGGGAAGCCCCCCTTCCAGTGCATGACTTTTCATGCATGGGGCCTCTAGTCTTAAAATAATGTAGGATTATTTTTCTGTTGAGATGGGGAGCCCCAAGCAACTCAAGCTGAGTATGAGGAGAAGGGTTCTTTCTAGATCTTTCCTTCTCATCTCTGGCAGCCTGCCTTTGTTCACGTTGAAGCTGCAGATCTCCTTACAGGCAGCAATGACAGGAGAGAGAGAGAAAGGTCGTTGAAGAGCTGAACTAGAATTTGGGATTTTATTGGAGGCAGAGGTCAAGGGTTGATAAGGATGAGGGTGTTCAGTGAGGGCTCAAGACCTATTTGAAATGGTGAGGGACTCAGATGCTCCTCATCCGCCCCCCCCCCCCCCCCCCCCCCCCCCCCCCCCCCCCCCCCGGAGTTTTGAGTGGATTTTTCGCTGGGTGCTTTTATTCTCAGAGCCACCAGAGGGCAGCAGAAGTGTAAATCATAGACCATTTCTGGGCAAGAGAAATAGGGGAGTTGGTGGTGGTGGGGGAAGGAGGAACTAACATATCCTAGAAGCCTAGTTACATACTGAACACTGAGTTCCTCCCAGCTTTTCCAAGCCTCTTGGAGCACTTTAAGAAAACATTATGTACCTGGGTCTATACTCCAGCTGCCTGCTGAATCGCACTTAATAAATTAGGACTTGCCAAAACAGGTTTGGCTCAGTGGACGGAGTGTCGCCTGGGTTCGATTCCAGTCAAGAGCATGTGTATTGGTTGCGGGCACATCCCCGGTGGGGGGTGTGCAGGAGGCAGCTGATCGATGTATCTCTCTCATCGATGTTTCTAGCTCTCTATCTCTCTCCCTTCCTCTCTGTGGAAAAATCAATAAAATATATTTAAAAAATAAATAAATTAGGACCTAACATTATGCCATCCCTTTTAATATGATGTGGAATGCTTCTGCTGTTTTGCTAACATTTATCTTGGGGACATTATCCATCATGTTGTATACACACACATACAAAACTCATGCATGGGGTGTGTGTGTATGTGTGTGTGTCCCTCAGCTTGGCCTGCAACCTCTCCAATCTGGAACCCCTCAAATGTCCTATTGCTGGTTTATAGGGATCAGGCCTAAACTAGCAGGCGGAAATCCCTCTCACAATCCGGGACTGCTGCCTCCACATGCTCACCTGCCTGCCCTTAACCACTTTCCCTGCCTGCCTGCTCACCCCTAAATGCCCCCTGCCAGCCAGATCAACCCCAACTGTCCCCTGTGCCAGCCTGCTCACCCCTAACTGCCCCCCCACCACTGGCCTGCTCGCCCCAACTGCCCCCCTGCTGGCCTACTCACTCCAAACTGCTCCCCCCCCCCCCCCACTGTCCTGATCACCTCCAACTGACCCCCATTGACAGCCTGCTCACCCTAAATTGGCTCCCCTGCTGGTCTGCTTACCCCAAATGGCCCTGCCATCCCCATCCTGGCCTGATCACCCTCCCCTCCCCCCATGAGCCAAGGTCCTAGCCCCTTCTTTTCTTATTTTTATTTTTTCAGTGCCTCCTTGAGCAGAGGCCAGGGTTGGCTGGAAACAAGTATTAGGATTTTTTTTTATCTTCTATAATTGAAACTTTGTAGCCTTGAGTGGAAGACAGGGCCAGCCAGGGTAGGTGGGAAGCTTGGTTTCCTCCATTGCCAGGGCAACCCAAGCCTCCAGCTTGTTCCAGCTCTATGGCCGGCTGCCATCTTGGTTGGGTTAATTTGCATACTTGCTCCTGATTGGCCAATGGGCGTGGCTTGTGGGTATAGTGGAGTGATGGTTAATTTGCATGTTTCTCTTTTTTTAGTGTAGATATACACATATACACATAATAGAGGCCTGGTGCATGAATTTATGCACAGGTGTGATCTGGCTGGCTGCCCCAATTGGGGCAGATTGGGGTTGGCCAGCTGGAGGGGGGCCATGGGAGGTTGGCCAGCTGATCCAACCTCTGATCAGGGTGGGAGCGCCAATTGGAGTAGGGCAAGATGGGGGGAGGGGGTGCAGGCAGGATCAGCTGAGAGGGGGACTACAGGCTATTATGGGGGGTGAATGGGGCCCTGATCAGCCAGTTGACTGCCGCAGTGCACATCATAGCCACCGGTTGTTCCAGTCGTTCTGTTGGTCTAGTCATTTAGCTTTTATATATAGACATACATATACATATTTTATTTCAGTGAGGAAGGGAGAGAGAGTGAGAGACAGAATCAGCAATAATGAGAGAGAATCATTGGTCGTTGCCTCCTGCACACCCCACACTGGGGATCGAATCCCCAACTGGGGCATATGCCCTGACTGGGAATTGAACTGTGACCTTTTGGTTCATACCTTGACACTCAGCTACTGAGCTATGCTGGCCAGGTAGAGCAACACTCTTTAATAGAAATGCAAGCCACATGAGTCATTTCTATTTTTTTAATTTTTTAAAATATATATATATTTTATTGATTTTTTACAGAGAGGAAGAAAGAGAGATAGATAGCTAGAAACGTTGATGAGAGAGTAACATCGACCAGCTGCTTCCTGCACACCCCTACCGGGGATGTGCCCACAACCAAGGTACATGCCCTTGACCGGAATCGAACCCGGGACCTTTCAGTCCGCAGACTGACGCTCTACCACTGAGCCAAACCGGTTTCGGCTCATTTCAAATTTTTTAGTAACCACGTTAAAAAAAGAAAGTTTGGTACTTCCTCAAAAAATTAAACCTGGGATTACCATATGACTCAGCAATTCCACTCTCAGGTATGTACCTCAAGAAGTTGAAAATGAAAACTTGCACACGAATATTCAGAGAATCACTATTTGCAATAGCTAAAAACTGGAAGCAACCCAAATGTCTACCAACGGATAAATAGATAAACAAAATGTAGCATATCCATCCAGTGGAATATTACTCAGTCATAAGGGGAATGAATTACTGATACATTCTACAACATAGATGAACCTTGAAAACACTGTGCTAAGCGAAAAGAACCAGACACAAAAGACCACCTAGAATAGGTAAACCCATACACATTGCAGATGATACATTGTAGAGACTGGATTTTCATCCTTCTCTGAGTGTGTTTGCTGGATCACCTTGAGTGTGGGAAGACTTGGTTTTATGCTTTGTTAGGGCAGATCTGTTTGAATAATCCCCTAGTTCTAGGATGGATGCTTTAGTCCTGAAACATTGTCTTTACTCCTAAGTCATGGTTCTTCCAGGCTTTCAATGTAAATAAAGCTGAGGTATTTATCAAGTCCTGTTCATGTGTCAGGATTCAGACATCCTCTTTGATGGGCAGCAGTTGAAATCTCTGTTTTTCCAGCCTTCCTGGTATTGCTCACCTTGAACCTTTGGAATCTCGCCTGCACAGAAGAGACTGAGGAGTCAATCTAAGGATTTGAAAGAAGTTGCCCAAGCTGGTTTGGCTCAATGGATAGAACATCAGCCCATGGACTGGAGGCTCCTGGTTCAATTCTGGTCAAGGGCGTGTACTTCGGTTACAGGCTCGATCCCCAGCCCTGCTCGGGGCACCTGTGAGAAGCAACCAATTGGCATGTCTTTCTCACATCGATGTTTCTCTTTCTGTGTCTCTCCCTCTCCCTTCCACTCTAACAATCAATGGAACAATATCCTCAGGTGAAAATTAAAACAACAACAAAAGAATTTGAAAGACATTTATACAAATATTTTGGAGATTTCCCTTTGTGGTTCTCTCCTCTCTGGATTTCCTGCTCAGTATGCAGTTGCTTTGGTAGTCCATCCTGAATACAGTACTGTCTCCTGATTGCTCAGGACACGGGACTGTGGCTTTCTGCTTGACCTTTACCTGCCACATGCAGGTTGGATTCGGGATTGTCCTCAGTGAAAAACCATGTAAAATAGATCTCTCTCAAGGATTACAGCTAGTACAGTTTCCGCTTTACTTTGTTCACTCTCCACTGCTTTAAAACGTTTTTGTTTTTGTTTTTACATTTTGTGAAGATATAATCATTGCTATCTATAGAATAGTTAGTTCAATAGAAACTATTGTGCCATTATCAGAACCAGAATTCCTGAATGGTCTCTTAAAAACAGTTATTTCCTTTTTGAAACCCTCCATTCTTATCCATAACAATTGTAATACATTGAAATGTCTTTTCCTGACATGACTGGGACCCTGCCAACCTTTCTATCCTCACTGTGCCCACAGCTCTATGGGTAGCACTCAATTCTTTGACTATGTTATGCTCTATTATAACTCAAGGTTTGCACATATTGTTTCCTCAGAGGGAAATTCCTGTCCCCCTGTGACTAATTATGCTTCAGATGTCAGCTCAAATATTACTTCCTCTGGAAAGTATTTCTTTCTTTCTTCTTCTTCTTTTTTTAATAATATATATTTTATTGATTTTTTACAGAGAGGAAGGGAGAGAGATAGAGAGCCAGAAACGTCGATGAGAGAGAAACATCGACCGGCCACCTCCTGCACACCCCCCACCAGGGATGTGCCAGCAACCAACGTACATGCCCTTGACCAGAATCGAACCCGGGACCCTTCAGTCCGCAGGCCGACGCTCTACCACTGAGCCAAACCGGTTTCGGCTGGAAAGTATTTCTGAATCTATGGATAGACTAAGCTCCCCTCGCCCACCTGCTAATAACATCCCTTCCTTGTGGAGCATGTATCACAGCTGGTCATTGGATGCTTGAGTGGTTATTTGGTTGCTGCCTCTTCTCCAGATTACCAATTCCATGAGGACAGGTATGGCCCTCTTTTCTCATAACCTTATTCCATGCCTTATCCCCTGGTATCGGGTCAATAGTAGGTGCTCAATGAATGTGTTGAATGAATGAAGAAGTAGAAAAGATTGCATCACATATGGAAAAAAGTTCCCAACTGAATGTCAAGGTATTAAGACATAAATCAAGCAAGTCAAACTCAAAGGCTGACACCAGCCAAATAAACAAGGTTTAAGTTTATGTGGGCTGCAAAAAAATAAAAGCTTCAATTTTTATAGAGATGTAGGTTTATTTCAATAGAGACATGCTAAATACAAAGGGCTGAAATGAGTGAGTTATTGTTAACATAAAATAATAGAACATTTTAATAAAAATTATTATTCTTTCTTGAACATTCACTTACCAGACACTGAATAACTGCACAACTTAATAAACAATGCAGATAAACTAATTTTTCTTGTTCTCTGAAAGCCAAATATTTCCTGTTGTGCACACCAAACAAGTCAGTACAAGACTAATGACATGGCAATTGGCTGCTAAAATATTTGCTGCTAGAATCAGTGGAGAGAAATGGCGTGCCTGCGTGTAAGGCATATAAGGGAAATGAATGCAACATGATTATAGTAATTAGTGAACGTTATAGTTCATTATTAAAATTACATATAACAGGATATTGTAAAAATTAAGTTACAAAATTTTTAAAAAAATATATTTTATAGATTTTTTACAGAGAGGAAGAGAGAGGGATAGAGTGTTAGAAACATCGATGAGAGAGAGTCATCGATCAGCTGCCTCTTGCACACCCCCTACTAGAGATGTGCCCGCAACCAAGGTACATGCCCTTGACCAGAATCGAACCTGGGACCTTTCAGTCCGCAGACCGACGCTCTATCCACTGAGCCAAACCGGTTTCGGCAAGTTACAAAATTTTTATTAAAACATCTCTTACATACCGTTATTTTAATTGGGCTGAAAAAATATTTGTTGTGGGCCGATTCTTGACATAAATGAAACTATGAGACATATGTCAAGTCATCTCACATTTCAGATCTTTAGATCTAGGATGCACAATAGGCCAAGCTGAATTAGATGAGCTTTTAGGTCACTTGGGGATAATTACTCTGTAACAACAGAGAGAATAGAAGTTAGGCAGTAGTCAGGTCATGAATGAATGTGACTAGAAGGCCTGGCATGATGGGACTGGTGTCAGGCTGCTGACTATGGAAATGACAAGGAGAGAGTAATCTCTCAGATCCGACTTAGGAAAGATGAGCAGTGTTCTCCTGATCTATTTATTTCAGTAAAGGAGATAGAAGGGGAGGGTTGAGCAGGGAAGAGATCAGAGCTGTGATGAACATGGGACTTACCCTTCTCTACCTCTTCTCTGCACCCAGATGTGAAGGCAAAATGCATTCAGTATCTCTTGAATGACAGCCAAACTTGTGCCACATTCCCACATCTGCTCCACTAAGTCCTTTCTCTTTGGAGCCCTTGGAAACAGAAATAAACCATTCATAAACTACTTCTAATTTCTCTGTCATATACAATTAAAAATCTCCCTTTCACCTGAGCTGGTTTGGCTCAGTGGATAGAGCCCCAGCCTATGGACTGAAGGGTCCCCAGTTTGATTCCAGTCTAGGGCACAAGTCCAGCGTGTGGGCTCTGTCCCCAGTAGGAGCATGCAGGAGGCAGCTGATCAGTGATTTTCTTTCATCATTGATGTTTCTATGTCTCTTTTCCCTCTCCCTTTCTCTCTGAAATCAATAAAAATATATTAAAAAAATAAAAAAATTTCCCTTTCAGTTTCTATAATGATCAGACAAGACTTGGGGAAGAGACCAGAGTGAGGACTCTAATATTTTCATTCTACCTTTGAAGTGTATCCTAAGACCTTGTTTTATCTTTTCATTTTTGTCCTCCTTTTATCAGGACTATCCCCTCAAAATGTCTCACTCAAATGTAATGTGGAACCCGTTTGGGTTTCATATAGGTTTATGTCCTGTGTGACTTCTCTTATGTAGAAGTTCTTTGTAGGCGGGTATGTGCTTCTATGGGAGGGCCTATAAATGTCAATCTGTTTCTGTGCCTTTTCATTGATGTTTGTGTGCATCTGTGTATGTCTTCCTTCAGCACCACAGACAGCACACATGTACCTTTTAAAAAAATATTTTATTGATTTTAGAGAGGAAGGGAGAGGGAGAAAAAGGAACATAAATGATGAGAATCATTGATCAGCTGCCTCCTGCATGCCCCCTACTAGGGATTGAGCCCACAACCTAGGCATGTGCCCTTGGCCGGAATTGAACCTGGGACCCCTCAACCCCAAGGCTGACGCGCTCTCCATTGAACCAAACCAGTTAGGGCGCAATCATTTTTACCAGCTTCCTCCAACTCAGTCTGGCATGTTTCAGAAGTCCATTGTTTTCTGTCGGAGCCAAGTCAATGCCAAGTAAGGCAACCTGGCTCATAGCTGAAGTGTTTGTGTCCTGGTTTTCAGAATCCTCAGGAAAGGTTTAGTCATTCACCTCCATCCAGTGGATGTTTGTAAATGTCTTGCTATCCATTTTGTCAATGATCAGGGAGACCTGCAAATGGTCCATCTCGTGCTGGATGATGTGTGCTGCTCATCCACTGGCCTGCCACACCACTTGCTCTCTTCTGGGGTCCAGCCCTGAGATCTGCACGGCCTGGAAGCGGGGCACGTGGGCCAGGAAGCCGGCGACGCTCTCGCAGCCCTCGGGGAAAGTGACCAGGCGGCTGTCCGGCACCCGCAGGCGGGGGTTCACGAACACGCGCAGCAGGAAGGGCTTCATCTGGCGGGGCTCCACATGTACCTTTTTTTTAAGAGGCAGATTTAGGACTGAGTGAAAAGAAAACTTGGGTAACTCCCAGAAGAAACCTAAAAACCTGAGGCTAATTGGACTTTGGGTAGTTATTGTCTCCAATTCTTTGTCTTCAGAGAGTGTGTAACTTATAGTAATTCTTTGGAATACTAGAATATAGTTCTGAAACACGTTTCAGGGAAGTTACACTCGAGACCTCTTTATATAACAACTAGAGGCCCAGTGCATGAATTCATGCACAGGTGAGGTCCAATCAGCCTATCGAAGCCAGGCCTGTCAAGGAGGAATAGACGCCAGGAGGTTGGCTGGCCGGTCCACCCCAATTGGGGGCCGGTCAGGGCTGGGCAGACTTGGGGGAGGGCCACAAGTGATTGGCCAGCGGCCTGGCTCCTGATTGGGATGCAGGGCTGATTGGGGGTGAGGCCAGCCATGGGGAGGAGCTGTGGGTGGTGAGTCAGCCAGCCCTGCCCCGGAATAGGGTGTGTGGGGAACCAATTGGGGGCCAGTGGCCTGGGGGAGGGGCCATGGGTGGTTGGCCGGCGGGCCCTGCCCTGATAGGAGTTGGGGGGCAGAGCTGTCTGTGGGGAGGGGTTGTGGGCTGATGGGATGATGGTGGCCCATCTGAGGTGGAGCTGGCTGGGGGGAGGTGCTACAAGAGGTTGTCTGGGGGGCCCCGGCCCCTATTGGGGTAGAGGAGAGATCAGGGGTGGGGCTGGCCTAGGTGGGGGCTGCAGTGGAGTTGGCTGGCTGGCCCCATCCCTCATCGGGCTGGTTTGCTGGCCACAATGGGCATCATAGTGACAGGCCGGTTATGACCGGCTGGTCATTCCAGTCGTTATGGTGTTCTAGTCACTGACTTCTTTTTTGTTTTTTAAACAAGATTTTCTTTTCTTTTTTTTAAAATATATTTTATTGATTTTTTACAGAGAGGAAGGGAGAGAGATAGAGAGCTAGAAACGTTGGTGAGAGAGGAACATCGACCAGCTGCCTCCTGCACAACCCCCCCCCCCCCCCCCCCCCCCCCCCCACTGGGGATGTGCCTGCGACCAATGTACATGCCCCTGACTGGAATCGAACCTGGGCCCCTTCAGTCTTCAGACTGATGCTCTACCGCTGAGCCAAACCGGTTTCGGCTAGTCACTGACTTTTTAAATATATATAGTTGTGTTTCACAATAGTCAGAGGGAGGAAAATCTTCAGAATCCAACAATGCGCACCAGGTAAGATGTATGATGCCAGGGCTAGAACTATTTTATATGGACTGAGAATGGTGTGGGATACTAGACTTTGACTCATTACGCAGATGTGACCTTCTTGTTTCATTTGTTCTTATTTATTTATTTATTTATTTATTTGTACAGGAATAATTTCTGGGCCAGGGGCTAGGGCGACATCTCTAACCTATGCTTTCTACCAATTCCCAAGATTTTTCCAAGTCTATGTCCATAGTCCAGAAGCAAGGATTGCCATGGTTGGGATTGGGCTAGAATGCTCATATGTGGTCTTATCTTGGGCTGCAATTCCTCCTATTGTATATGGACCTTAGAATACTGGTCTAGGCTGCTCACATCACTGGACTTATTTGTGAAGCTGGGCCCTTGAAGAGGAATAAGAATAGGGCAGTCAGGGAAAAGGGGAATGACACTCCAAACTCTGACTTGAGGTTCAGCTTGGCTCAAGACTTGTAGTTCCCAGATGTGAAGTCACAATTTCTATATTATTGGCACCTGGGTCACTGGAGACATTTCTCTAGAATAGGAGCATTGTTGGAGATTGAATGATCATTGATTTGGGGAAGATGAAATAATTCAATGATGATTATTTTAGTGCCACTTACAAGGAAATCTGATGAAGTAGGTGACAAAATACAGAAGCAAATTAAATTTTGGCAGATCATGCCAAGAAGATATCAACAATGGCTGCCTTTTTACAGACTGACTCATTAAATGGTTAGGTTGGTGTCTATAGAGAGGTCCTTTGTAATTTACGTTGGAAGAATCTAGGATGGAAGAGATGAATGAATTTAGATCAGGGCCAACACAGAAAATTTTCAGTGAAAATTTTATATAGGTAATCAGCAGGAAAGACAATTCTGGGCAAAGAAATGAACAAGAATTTTAAATTAAAAAGAAAAAAATAAACCCCTTCCAAAAATAGTCTAATTTATTTACTCAGATTTTGTCATAATTTTTCATAAAGAATATTCCTTTTTCCTTCTGTTACATTAAGCATTTGGTCTTCCTTCTGTCACATTAAGACCTTTCTTTTCACTGATTCCAGTCCCTGTAAATAAATAAATACATTTAGTGACTAATATGGTCATTGGAAGACTCAATGAGTCCTATACATCTTAGCAGAGCTTTATATCTGTTTTTAATACTAGTATCCCTTCTGATTTATATGTCTACACAGAAGATATTAATGAGCAAATACAGTGCCAACCTTGGACAACATACAAATTAATGAAGTGACGTCGTTGCTCTTGAGCATAAGGCTGTGGTTTCACCCTTCACTATACCATACTGAACCAAGATACTTGTCTTCCCCTGCTCTCCTAACACTCTCCCTGCCTCTCTTTCAACTGTGCAACAATAAGGTGTTGGATAGGACCCAACACCTGAGGCCACAATGGTGGTAGTCAAGTGCTGGGTGGGTCCAGATCCATGTCCTCCTTCTGAGTGAACTTGGAAAATCACTAGCCTTTCTGGGCTTCAATCTCCAAAATTTCAAGAGTTTTGTTGGACTAAATGACCCAAAACATTGAAATTTGTGCCTATGACTGACTGTCCCCAACTCAGGTATAATTTGTCTCCTTGCTCAATTTCCCTGGCCTTGCACTTGCTTTTTCCTGAAACAAACAAACACACATGCGCGCGCGCGCACACACACACACACACACACACACACACACCCCTGGTTCCTAATATTTAGCGTCACTGGTGGTGGGGTAAGGGGTTGAGAGACTTACGATTTAGGAATACAAAATACTTGACACTGATGTTTGCTTTTAAAGTTGTTTCTGTTGCCTCCACATCCAGAGAAGATGAAGGGCTCACACAAAAATGTCAATGAGTTGTAGTAGAATCTGGTCAAAATTAGCTTACAGGTGCCGGACTTTGCGGGGTAGTTGCAGGCTTCTGTGCACGAGAATTCCACAGTCAGGTTTTCTTCCCCGCTGCCAAGTAGGCATTCTTCTCCTCATGGATTTCAACTACTAATGCTCATCAACCCATGTAAACCCACCCGATTCTTTACCACTGGGAGAGTTCCCTGAGCATAAGTTTCACTGTATAGGTGATACGAAGCAGTGATTCTAGACTATTACCTGGGTCAATGCTTCAGATAAACACTTAGAGGAGGATAATAGGTAGCTCTATTACCTTAGATATGAAAGCAAGAAAGAAGACCCACTGCTTCCTCTATCCATTACAGCATCCCTTCTTCATATTAAATATATCCAATTTCCTGACTCTCCAAATGCTTTCCCATGTCACTCACTGGGAGTGAACATCTCATCTGTTCTCCAAGGACACAGGTCAGAGCCCTTAATTTCACCTCCCCAGAATCTCTATAAGCACACAGCTAAGAGGGGCTTTCTACACTTACCCCTGGAGGCTTAAAATGTCCTGTTTGGCAAAAGATCTTCCTGTTGTCCACCAGTGTCTGTCCTCTTGATTCAGCCCCCCTTTTTGGCTACCCATTCAGACTCACCTGGTTTTACTGAGACCATGAAGATAGATGGTTAGAGCAGGAACAATGATGACCATATTGGAGGCAAAGGAAGAATTAATGTCAGTCTTCTTGAAGTGTACAGCCCTTATGTATAATCAGGAATTTGTCCCATTTACCCATTGTAATTTGAATCAAGCAAATTCATTTTAAATAAAATGTGAGTGTCCTAAGCATGCAAATGATGGCCTCAGCCTCATCACCATGGAGTGTAACACAATGGTCCTGTATATATGTGTTAAATAGAATAGAAACTCACTTAATACACACACACACACACACACACACACACACACACACACCAGTAAAGAAATTTTCTGGACACTCCTCACATCAATCCAATTTTCATAATCCCCACTTCTACTTTTTCTTTCTTTCTTTCTTTCTTTCTTTCTTTCTTTCTTTCTTTCTTTCTTTCTTTCTTTCTTTCTTTCTTTCCTTCCTTCCTTCCTTCCTTCCTTCCTTCCTTCCTTCCTTCCTTCCTTCCTTCTTTCTTTCTTAATACTCACGTGAGGATATTTCCCCCAATGATTTCTAGAAAGAGTTGAAAGGAGGGAGGAGAGAGAGAAACATTGACATGAGAGAGACACATTGGTTGCTTCCTGCAATCAAGATACATGTCCTTGAACCTGGCTGATGCTCTACCACTGAGCAAAACCAGCCAGAACTAGGTTTATCTTTCTTTTTCTCCAATCCATAATATATGGAACTCAGTGTAAGTCCTGGAATCAGATGCTCTAGAACTATTCGGTTTGAGATAAAAGGAGAACTTGATTCCTTCTTATTGGCATCTACATCACCCAGGCTGCCTAGATCTCCTTTTCCTCCGCACTGTCCTCCTGGGTTGTCCTTCCTATTGTGCCTTACCTCCAAGATATCCACTTTCGCACATTTTTTTCCTGGTATCTTGAGGGAACATGAAAGCAGAAAATGTACGGAGAGGCATGGACAAGATGAGGAGCAACATAAATGAGCGGATCAATTCTGGCTTCATGGTGTTGCTGAGAGCAGACAGAAGTGTACTGGATTTGGCTGAAATTATATCTTGGGGGTGGAGTTCTTTTTGGGAGGAATTGAACCCATATCTCTGAGTTCACTTCTCCAGGGCCCAAGTCTGGATAGGGTTCAGTTGAATCCAAATCAGCTGAGTGAGCAGGACACAACGTGCTTGGGTACCTAACCATGTAGCTTGCCAGGTCACGGTTTATCAGAGCTCTACCGCTGAACCGCAGCCTCTGCCTCTCTCTCCTCCATATCTAGGGATCATAACTACCCATGGCTCAGGATATCAGCATCTCTATGATAAGCAGCTGCCAATCACTTATTCTCAGGGCTTTAGTATACAGGATGGGGCAAAAGTAGGTTTCCAGTCGTTTGTATGAAAAATAATTAAAAATAATAATACAAGAATAAACTCTGTGTTTCATGTTCTCATATCTGTAAACCTATTTTTGCCCCACCCTGTATAAATGTAAAAATTTGAAAAGAAGTTAACATAATCTCGAACTTAAGAAACTGGAGCAAAACTAGCAAAATAAATATAAAGAAAGTAGACAGAAGAGACTGATAAAGATAGTAGGTGACATTAGTGAATTAGGTAAACACGAAAATTGCTAAGTAAAATAAAAGGTTTGTACTTTAAAAATACCATTAAAATAGACAGAACTTTGGCAAGAATAGCTAAGAAAAACAGAAGAAATAAACATCTTCCAAAACAGAAATAGACCCATAGATACAGAGAACAAACTGATGGCTACTAGAGGGGAGGAGGTCCCGGGGGGCCAGGTGGGGGGGGGGGAAAAGGTGAAGGGATTAAGAAGTAAACGCGGGTAGTTACAAAATAGTCAAGGGGATATACAATACAGTATAGGGAATATAGTCAATAATATTGTAATAACTCTGTATGGTGCCAGATGGATATTAGACTTATTGGAGGGATCATTTCACTCATTACATAAAGTGTCTAACCACTATGTTGCTGTACAACTGAAACTAATATAAAATATTAAATTTCAACTGTACATGACAGAAAGAAATAAGCATCATCAATAAACGGAATGTGAAAAGGATAGAACTCAAACATGAAGGAGATGAAAAATTCACGAGGAAATAGTTTGTAAAAATATTAAAAAATCTCTATAAAACGAAATGACTCAAATAAACTCACTATATAGCAAAATGCCTGAGTTTATTATTAAATATGCATGATATTTACAGAAATGCTGATTTTACTGGTGAGATGATTATACTTATAAGTTCTACCAAACATTCATTGACAATTTTCTGTCTTCAACTTTTCTAGGAAAAAAGTATTTAAAAAGTATGAGAGCCCTGGCTGGTTTGACTCAGTGCAGACAGCCTTGGCCTGCCAACTGAAGAGTCTCTGTCAAGGGCACAAGCCCAGGTTGCTGCTCGGTCCCCAGTAGGGGGCGTGCAGGAGGCAGCTACTTGGTGGTTCACTCTCATCATTGATGTTTCTGTCTCTCTTCCTTTCCCTTCCTCTCTGAAATCAATAAAAATGTGTTTTTTTTTTTTAAGTATTAGAGAAAAAAACAAAAATTTTTCTATCTTCATCACTTTCTTTATTGAATTAAAGAAAGTCACTTCTCTTAATATTTCCACTCAATCTTCAACCTCCCTCCCCCCACATGCTTAGAGTATCATCAGTATTCTTTGCTTCTCTAAATGCTAGAATCTCCTTTCTGATGATAGATTCTGTTTTAGCCATCTATTTACTTGTGTGTCCAAAGATGGGAACAATTCAGTAGTATATTTTATATGGAAGATGGAAGGTCAATTAATTCATTAAGTGGGTTTCATTGAGAGAGCTTTAATCTTAATTCAAAAATAACAAAGCCATAATTCAAATCATGCTATGCAGATGGATCTTGCTGAGTTTTTAATATAGCTATATGGATTATATCAATATATCATGACATTTTATATTAAAATATATTTTTATTGATTTTATAGAGGAAGGGAGAGAGAGAGACAAAAACATCCATGATGAGAGAGAATCAACGGTTGGCTGCCCCCTGCACACTCCCCTGTGGGCCACCTTAAACCAGAGATCTCTTGGCTCCTGGGCCGATGCTCAACCGCTGAATCACACCATCTAGGCTAACTTCTTCTGTATTAATAGCACATTAGGTTGTTTTTAATAGATAATTACAGATAATGCTGTAGTAAATATTGTTGTTCATGAATCTTTATGTAAAACTAGAGGCCCGGGGTACTTGAAATTTGTGCACTGGGGCGGGGAAGGGGTTTTCCCTCAGCCCAGTCTGCACCCTCTCCAATCTGGGATCCCTCTCTCAATCCAAGACTGCTGGCTCCCAACTGCCTGCCTGCCTTCCTGATTGCCCCTAGCCACTTATGCCTGCCAGCCTGATCACCCCCTAATCACTCCTATGCCAGCCTGATTGATGTCTAACTGCTCCCCTGCCAGCCTGTTTGCCCCCAACTTCCCTCCTCTGCCAGCCTGGTTACACCTAAATGCCCTCCCCTGTAGGGTTGATCGTCTCCAATTGCCCTCCCTTGCAGGCTTGGTTCCTCTCAACTGTCCTTCCTTGCAGGCCTGAGTCCCCCCAACTGTCCTTCCCTGAAAGCCTGGTCCCTCCCAACTCCCCTCCCCTGCTGGCCATCTTGTGGTGCCCATCTGTGTCCACATGGGGGCAGGATCTTTGACCACATGGGGGCAGGCATCTTGTGTGTTGAAATGATGATCAATCTGCATATTACTCTTTTATTAGATAGGATCAAGGTTTGGTGCACAGGTGGGGGCCAGCTGGTTTGCCCTGAAGGGTGTCCCAGATCAGGGTGGGGGTTCCCTTGGGGCGTGGGGCAGCCTGGGTGAGGGGCCTGTGGTGGTTTGCAGGCCAGCCACACCCCCTGGTGACCCAAGTGGAGGCCCTGGTATCTGGAATTTATTTACCTTCTACAATTTAAACTTTGTAGCCTGAAGTGGAGCCAAGCCTTCTGCTTGCTCTGTGGCTGCCGCCATTTCTGTTTGGATTTGTTTACCTTCTATAATTAAAACTTTGTAGCCTTGAGTGGAGGCCTAGGCCGACAAGAGTCGGCGGAAAGCTTGGCTTCTTCCATTGCCTGGGAAACCCAAGCCTCCCTCCTGCTCTCTGTGGCAGTAGTCATCTTGACTGGGTTTATTTGCATACTCGCTCTGATTGGCTGGTGGGCATGGCTGGCGGGAGTGGCTGATGGGTGTAGCGGAGTAACGATTATTTTGCATATTACTCTTTCATTAGATAGGATTATTTCTATGGCATACATTTTTAGAAGTGGGTTTTTGTCCAAAGGTAAGCATTATAAAATTTAGCAGACATTACCCAATTTATCACAGCCTTGCCAACACTTCTTTTTGTAGTAAATCTAATGAGTGAAAAATGGCAGACCATTGTTTTAAGTTAGATTTCCCTGACTAACAGTGGGGATCAGAATATTTTAGCCTGGGTATTGGCATTTTGAATTTGTGAATTACCTCTTCTTACACTTTGGTTATTTTTATCTTGAGATATCTTTTTTTCTTAATGATTTACAAGATACTTTATAAATCCTGAGTCTTAGTAGTTACATTTGTTGCAAATGTTTTCTTTTGGGATATTATTTGTCCTTGGATACTGTTGTGGTTTCTTCAATTGAGAACTTTTTTTTTTTTTTTAATATATTTTATTGATTTTTTTTTTTTACAGAGAGGAAGGGAGAGGGATAGAGAGCTAGAAACGTCGATGAGAGAGAAACATCGACCAGCTGCCTCTTGCACACCCCCTACCAGGGATGTGCCCGCAACCAATGTACATGCCTTTGACCAGAATCGAACCTGGGACCTTTCAATCCCCAGACCCATGCTCTACTGCTGAGCCAAACCGGTTTCGGCCAATTGAGTACTTTTAACATTTATGCAATTATGTACATACTAGAGGCCTGATGCATGAAATTTGTGCAAGGGGGTTGGCCTTTGCAGCTCCGGCTTCTTCCAGAAGGTCATCCAGATGGTCATTCTGCTGTTGGGCCACCTGGTCTAATTAGCATATTATGATTTTATTATTATAGATATTTATTTAATTAAATCTGTTATTCATAAATACCCAAACATATTTTGAGGCTTCTGAGTTTTCTGCCTTTATTAGAAAGTCCCCTATCACTCCAAATTTAGCAAAATGTTTTCTTATATAAGTTAATACTTTTATTTTTTACATTTACAACCTTAATATATTTGAAATTTATTTCTGCATATGATGTGGAGATAGGGATCTAATTTGACTATTATAGCAAATAAATAGCAAATTATATCATCATTTATTGAGAAATATATAAAATTTTCCCTTGATCTGAGATGCTAATTTCATCATATATATATTTTTTAAAAATACTATTTTATTAAAAAAATCTTTATTGATATTCTTAATTTACTTGGATCTATTTATGGATTTTCTATTTGATTTATCCATGAATGTTTCTATTCCTGATGTTTATTTCTCATTGTTGGGCCAGGTGGGAAGAAGTCTAGAGATTCCTTGCTCCTTGGTTCCCACAGAGTCAATGTTTTTGTCTAACTTGCTAACTAGAGTAGCTCCCATTAATAATAAGAATGGATGTTAGTAGAACTGAATGAAAAAGGACCAAGGCTATAATGATTTGCATGAATATCTCCTAGGATGCTGGACATCTTGGTGTTTTGCATAAAGTCTCTCTCCATTGTATATGTAAATATGGCAGCAAATGTTCTGCTCTTCTGTCTTTGGGGGAGAGAAAGTAAGATTTTCTATTTCAGTGGAAGGCACAGAGCATGAAACTTTAGAGGAAAGAGATGTGAGGCAGCAAACAAGGAGGGTCATTAACTTTTATTATTTTGCTATTACATTTTCTGCTCTAGCTGGTAGAAAACTAATAATGGAAGGTTCTTGGGAAATGCTTGAGGCACCCATGTACTTAGTAGCAATCCATCAAGAGAATAAGGAGTCTGTATTGGACCCGGCAATTTCATTGTAGGTATATTTCACTCTCAGTTGTGCTTCCCCCCCGCCCCCCCCCCCCCACTGTTTATCACATATTCCTTAATCCACACTTATGGCCTCCATGGAAATTCTCTTGGTAGAGCAGAAAAAGAAGGGTTATATTTGAAGTGAGTGAGCATGACCATAAAGGGGGATATGGTTGATACTTCACTGGAGGGACTCTGATGCCCTAGAGCACATGTGTCAAACACAAGGCCCGCGGGCCAAATCCGTCCCGCCAGGCCTTGCAATGTGGCCCGCACCGCGCTGTCATCACTGCACTCCGCTGCGTTTCCATCACAATGACAGTTTATGACTGTTCAGTAAACCATTCGGCCCGTGATTTAGGCTGGATTTTAGATTTTGGCCCCTTCTCTAATTGAGTTTGACACCCCTACCCTAGAGCATGTATAACACATCGTCCTAATGGGTAAAGTTTTATGGAAGCTAGCAGATACGAAAGCCTGAAAGATGGAAAGATTAAAACCTACCCAGAAAGTCCCAGCGTGAGCTCATTTTCTTCTGTCTAGAATGTTCATTTAGGTTACCCAATGTATAAAGAGTCTAGTTAAACAGAAGTTCTGGTCAAAGAAAAGAAACATGGAATGTATTTGGAGGAGGGATGTTATTAAAACTAGCTACAGCCTTATAAGGTGTAGGACAAATATCTAACCTATTGGTCTTTGCTTGTGTTATAGAATTAAACAAAAATTTTATGTTTTACTTACTGTTCTATGTAAGACTAGAGGCCCGGTGCAATTTGTGCCCTGTGGGGGGAGGGGGGCTTGGCTCCCTTCAGCCTGGCCTGCACCCTCTCGCAGTCTGGGACCCCTTGCTCCTTTCCACCTGCCTGCTCACTGCTCCTTAACAAAATTTGTGCACGGGGGTTAGGGGGTGTCCCTCAGCCTGGCCTGCACCCTTTCCAATCCGTGACCCCTTGGGGAATGTCCAACTGCTGGTTTAGGCCCAATCCCAACATCCTTCTCACAATCCTAGACTGCTGGCTTCTAACTGCTCACTTGCCTGTCTGCCTGATTGCCCCTAAACCCTCCCCTGCTGGCCCGATTGATGCCTAACTGCTCCCCCGCCGGCCCAATTGCCCTCCCCTGCCACGACCCACCTTCCCCACTGGGACCAGCCTCCACAGTGCCACATGAAGCTATGGCACCCCCAGGCCTCCCTGCGCAGAGTGGCCGCGGGGCTCTGCCTCTGCTGTGCGCATGGCCATCTTGTGGTGGCCATTGTGTGGCAGCCATCTTGTGGAGGCCATCTTGTGGAGGCCATTGTGTAGTGGCTATCTTGTGGTGGCCATCTTGTGATGGCATCACGCATGAGGGCCACATAGGCTTTTATTAGTATAGATAGGTTGGTTTATGTAGAAAACTTGCTCCTTTTACACTGGTTGCAGAAGTTCCTACAGGACCCAGTGAGTGCTAAAAGAGAAGGGACTGTATAAGCGAGGCATTTTGTATAAAACCCCTCATTTTGAATTTTTCCAATGTTTCCTCAAATTAGAGCACAGGTTTGGCACTTTGGTTCCACTAATGAGCTCAACATGAGAGAAGAGGTGATGCAAACCTATGCAAATTTGGTTGACCACAGCTGAAAGTGTCACCATTGTGTGCTTACGTGAGGAATGGTTCAGGTGGGAGAAGGGAGCTAATGGACAGGAGCAGGTGACATTCCAGCTCTGCAGACAGCAGGGGGTGAGATACTCAAGAGAGAACGGAGGCTGACACAAGGATTATCTCATTTTAATGATTATACAGTTATTTCTCAGGAAAGACAAAACTAAAGTCAAGAGAATAGCAAACAGATGGGAGTTTCAAGGATACATTACAAAGATCATGACATTTGTCTTCAGATGTTGAACTGGCCTTTTCTAGATGCTTCGGGGTTGTACCCTGGTCTTAAATGGCCCCTGTTTGAGAAAAAAACAAAACAAAACAAAACACAAACACAAAACAAAACACAACAGATTTATCTTACAGCTTTTGGAAAGTCTCCATGGATTAATTTGTCATTTTTATCTCAGGGGAAACCCAAAGGAAGCCATCTCTTTCACTTCCACTGGTTAATCTCTCATCCTCTCGTTTTCTCAAGACGTAGCTATTGCCTACTATGTGCCAGGCACTACAAAGATTCACTAGGAGGATTAAATTAGTAGAACAAAATTTCTGCTTTTGAGTTACTCCCAAGGTCACTCGCTATCTCCCTCTCCTGGGAATCAGCTCTACCATAGCCCTCTCACTCTAGTTCCTGTGACTGGGGAATGGTCAAATGTGGGCTGGGAGCCAGCTTAGTTGTATAAAACACCACGTTGCTATGGAGAGTTTACAGGTTTGAAAGTATGATGATTAGCTTTGGGTAAGCATGTAAGATGATCAAGTCCTGGGTGACCATCAGATCTGGTTAGAAACCTTCTTATGCCACTTAATAACGTGACCTTGGGCCAGTTAGTTACCTCAGCTGGGCTTGGTTTCCTCATCTGCCACATAAAAATAATAATGCACACCTACTGTAGATGATTTTAATTTCAATTTGGACCAATGTACGTAAATTGTTTAGTGCAGTGTCTGGCACAGGGTTAGTAAATGGCAGTTATTATTTTCTCTCTGGATTTTTGATGTTCTAACTGCAAAATGACAAATGACCCTGAGATTCAACCCAACATTAAACCTTTCGATTAAGACAGTTCTCCCTCTTCCCCTTCCCAAATCAGGTTTTATCTCGTGGTCCCAAAGCCTCTTCTTTTCCTCTCCCCAAGGACAAAGAACAAAATTGGATTCCTTACGGTATTTTGTACTCTTTCTCACAGGCTACTTGACAATCTATTTTAAGCTGGTAGTTGTTAAGGTTGCCATCACAGCCAGTGAAGATAAAACTTTGGCATCTTTCGGCGGTTTTGTTGTAGAAATATCTAAAGTAGATCTCGTAGCAGCTGCCAGGACTCGGGTCCATTCCACAGGGCTCTGTGCGAGAGGTTCTCATTGAGTTGGGGGAATTTGTTAGGACTAAGCAAGTGATCTTGTTTCTATGGGCCCTTAAAACTTACCCACATTCATCTGGAAATATTCCCATATTCAAAGTCACGGAAGGACATCTGGTTTTCTCCTGGGATTAGGATTGCTTGGTAAGGTTGCCCTTGGACATGTAAGTTGATTACATCTCCAGGTTTGGCAGTGACTTGGAGAACAGGAGGCTCTGCCAGAAGCTTGTGCCACGTTACAAGGTTCCCATCTCATTTTATCAACGCACAATCTCCTGCTTTTCTGTACCGTCATCTTTCTCTCTTCACTGCACATGTCGGGCATATAATTAAGAATTCTGACTCTCCACTTTTCATATATTCACTACCCTATCTACACCCCAAATTTCAGGTAACTGTGCCTGCTGCTGTCCTCGAAGCAGGATACATATCAACATGAATAACGGTGAGGGTGATATTCTTGCTTTCATATCCTGTCATCTTTCCCCCTGTTGCCTTCTCAGAGGCAAACATTCTGTCTTTGTTTTTTTTGTTTTGCTTTGTTTTGTTTTTGACAAGAGTCACATAGGCAGTGGCCAAAATAGCAACAACAGGGCTGGGTGGGCAAGTCAGAGATTATTGTTTATCTTATCCAAGTAGCCAGTCTGGAGTTTACTCTCTGGTAGAAGTAGCTATTTAGGTACAATTACATGCATAATATCATTTCATGCCAACATCCTCTGAAGCAGGCATTTCTTGTTGTACATTTTACACCAGGGAAACTGAGGTTAAGGGATAGTAAGTGATTAACTCAACCAAGGGCACACAGTTGCTAAGTGGCAGGGCCAGAATCTGGGCTCTCTGACGGTGTAGACTGTACCACCTGTTATGCTCTGTACACATTACCTGTAGAAGAAATATTCATGGCCTTTCATCTCTACATTGTGAGCTCCTCTACGTAGGGACCATTTGTCCAAATGTTCTCTATGTGTCCAGAGCCCAGATATTGAAAATGCCTACTGTATTTTCCAGCGTATAAGACAACCCCCCAATTTTACAGTTAAAACATAGGTTTAGGCCTATATTCGCTGTATAAGACTACCCCCCACTTCAAAGAAAAGACTTACTTTGCCGTCAAGATCTGCAAGTAATTTTTGTGCAATTTTGGTCTTTTGCCCCCGATTTTCAGTTGATTTTTTTTTCGTTTCAAAAGTCGTCTGATACGCCGGAAAATACGGTAATTTTTTTTTTTTTTTTTTCAGTTCCAACCTCCTTTTCATCTAATCTAAACACATACTCTTTTTTTTTTCCAACACATACTCTTGATTGGTCTGGGATCTTTGAAATTTGTCATGAAACCCCTAATTCAAAATAGTTCTAGTCTTTGGAGCCCCTCCAAAAGAGAACACCACTGCAAAGGGTTTGTTGGTACTCTAGCTTGTTTTTTTCTCTTCAGACATCCATGAGACCTCTAAAGTAAGAAGTGTCCTGAGTCAAAGGACTAAGGGTGGCTATTGACACAAAAGGAGGAACTTCCTGAACCAAGACTTTTCCCCCAATACTTTCTCCCTCATTCATAATTGGCCTTTGAATTTATAATCTACTTCAAGTTCATACCTCCATATTCTCCACACAGCATTTTAGAAATGCTTTTGACACCACCCATGACAGGGGTAGCCAGTAAGGCGAAAAGGAAGAGCTTTAGAAGGAACCTCAACTCAGCAGGCTTCATGGTGCAGCAAGCAACAGGTAGCAGAGAGTTGGTATTAACTGGTATTATATTTTGTGCTTGATGCTCAGCCCCATTTACCCCAAGGGCCAGGACTGGGCATTACTAGGAGTTGAATTGAACAGGGAATGCTTGGGTACCCAGCCATGAAGCTGAAGGTCCCAGGCTGATTAGACCCCTGATAGTGAGTCCTATGTAGAAACCATAGAAACTAAAGGACCAGAGCCTCTGTATATGTTAACCAAGGAGGGTAGAACCATCAGGGCAGAAAAGAATTGCTTCCTTTGCTGTCTTCAACCTTCTACAACAAGGAAGAGACTAATCCTGGTGCAACAGAAAGAATGTAATGTTTACAACAATAATAATGATAGTAACTAACCCTTATAGGACAGTACTTTCTTCCTGCTAGGCAATATTTTAAGCAATATACATACCAAATCATTGAATTTTCACATGCACCCCAATGGGTTAGGCACAATTATTATCATTACAGATGAAGAAGGAGAAGTTTAGGTTAAGTTACATGTACAAGGTCACTCATGTATTATGTAGTGGAAACAAGATTTGAATTTACTATATTACTTGGAAACATGGGATACCTTGGTTCTGTTTTCTTGTAAGACTTTTGAAATTTTGACTTTCACATTGATTCTCTTAAATCACCCGAAGTTGATTATTTTGGGTAAGGTATAGAATAAAGGTCAAGGTTCATTTTTTTCAACAGTTCCAGACCATTTATTGATGGATTCCTCTTATATATTCAGTTGTATGATAACTTCACTTATGTATGTGGGATTATTTCTGAGCTCTTTTTTTTTTAATTTTGAAGTTTGAAAAGTATTGGTATCAATTCTTCTTTAAATGTTTGGCAGAATTCACTTGTGAAGCATTCTGGTCCTGAGTGTTTCTTTTTTGAAATTCTTTTGGTTGCCGATTCCATTTCCTTTCTTGTTAGTGGTCTGCTCAAATTTCCTATTTCATCATGATTTAGGCTTAGTCAGTTGTATGTGTCTAAGAATTTATCCATTTCTTCAAGATTACAATTTCTTGGCATATAAGTGTCCACAGTAGTTTCTATGTATCTTTGTTATTTATGTAGTATTAGTTGCAATGCCTCCTTTCATTCATAATTTGATCTCACTCTCTTTTTTGGAGAGTCTAGCTAGAAGTTTCTCAGATTTATCTTCTACAAAAACCAACTTTGAGTTTTATTGATCTTTTCTATCATCTAATTCACTTATTTTTGCTTTCATTTTTAAATTTCTTTTCTTTTGTTGACTTTATCAGTTTATTTTTCTACTTCTTTGAAGTGTAAAGTTAGGTTGTTTATTTGAATATTTTTTCCTTAATGTTGTCATATATTGTATAAGTACTTCAGTTTTAGAAGTGCTTTTGCTGTATAAGGGTTAGTATTTTCCATTTCCATTTATTTTGAGATATTTTCTAATCTTTCTTTTGATTTATCTTTTGACCCACTAATTGTTTAGGAATGTGTTATTTAATTTTTACATACTTGTGGATTTTCCAATTTTTCTCCTGTTAATGATTTCCAGTTTCATACCATTATGATTAGAAGAGATATTTATTGTTACTTCAATATTTTTTATTAAAAAATACTTATTTTTGTGGTCCAACATATGATCCATTCTGAAGAATGTCCTATGTACATCTGAGAATTAATTTGTTAGGTCCATTTGATCTAAAGTCCAAGACCAAGGTTTCTTTATTGATTATCTGTTTGGATGATATATCCATTATTGAAAAGGGGGCACTAAATTTCTCTACTAAATCTATTATTGTATTTCTGTCTGTTTCTCTTATCAGATATGTTAATATTTGCTTTATATATTTAAGTGCTTCATTGTTGGGTGCATATCTGTCTACTATTGTTATAGCCTCTTGATGAATTGATCCCTTTATTATTGCATAGTGACAGTCTTTGTTTCTTGAAAGTCTTTTAATTTGTATTTTATCTTTAAAATATGTTTTTATTAACTTCAGAAAGAAAGGGAGAAGGAGAGATAGAAGCATCAATGATGAGAGAGAATCATTGATTGGCTGCCTCCTGCAAACCCTCATTGGGGTTTGAGCCTACAACCCAGTCATGTGGCCTAACTGGTAATCAAACTTAGATATTCTGGTTCATAGGTAGATGCTCAACCACTGAGCCACACCAGCTGAACATGACAGATTAAAAACAAACAAACTGATTCTACACAGAGGAAAGGAGAGATCCCCAATGATCGAACCTGCAGCCTGGGTACGTGCCCTGACGGGAAATCAGAAATGCCACCATTTTTGGTGTATAGCATGGTGTTCCAACCAACTGAGTCACACAGGCCGTGGCTCTTGTGACAGATTTTGACTGAATGTCTAATTTTATCTGATATAAATATGCCACCCTTGCTGTCTTTTCCCTTCTCTTCCCTTACAGCCTATCTATATACACCAAATGGCCAGATTATGATCTCTGAACGCATAATAATCTGGCCACTCAGTGTATATACTGTATGTCCATAAAGCCTCGAGTATTTTGATGTTCTATTGTTAGTGCATTCACATTAAGCCTTTGAATTATATATTATTCATATTCAGCATCCTCCCAGGGGAAAGAAAGAAAAAAACCCCAGTCTTTTTTCATTCTGACTTCCAAGTCTCCTTATTGAGTTGGTATAGCCCCACTGGAAAGTGAGGGTTTATTGATCTTTTACTCTCTCTGCTGAATGGATTGGAAAGAGAACCCCCAGCAGTAATCTGCAATCTATACTAATAATAGAGGAATATGAAAATGATCCAGGATGCCATCACAGTAACAGTAATGACTGGACAGCAGGCTGCATGGGGCGACAAGACCGGCAGGGGGGTTAGTGAGGGATGACCAAACAACTGAACAGTTGGCTGTGTGGGGTGACCAGGCTGGCGGGGGGTGGGGACAGTTTGGGGCGATCAGGCTTTTAGGGGGGGAAATAAGGGGCAACCAGGATGGCGGTGGGGGGGCAGTTAGGAGTGATCAGGCCAGCAGGCAGAGGCAGTTAGCGGCAACCAGGTAGGCAGGCAGGTGAGCAGTTAGGAGCTAGTGGTCCTGGATTGTGAGAGGAATGTCTGACTGCCAGGGATGTCAGTTGGACATCCCCCAAGGGGTCCCGGATTAGAGAGGTTGCAGGCTAGGCTGAGGGGACCCCCTGTACCATTCACGAATTTCGTACGCCAGGCCTCTAGTATATCCACAAGCATGGTTGTCTTTCTTGGCCTCTTTTATTCTGG